TTTTTTTTTTTTTTTTTTCTGCTAATGCCCTTGGTATAGCTGGGACCCTCTTCTTCAGTACTATCAGTTCTTGCCCATATGTTAACTCCTGAAATGGTTGACATTGCCTTTTTTTTTTTTTTTTTTGTACACTTGACTTTTTGTATTCCTTCCATTTTCTTTTAATGTTACCTGCGTTGTTTAATATTTTTCCCATAGAATTCTCCAGTATTGCAACTTAAGGTTTGAATTTTTCCTTCTGTTCTTTCAGCTTTAGAAATGCTGAGTGTGTTCTTCCCTGTTGGTTTTCTAACCCCAGTTCTTTGTCCATTTCATTATAATACCCTTTGAAATTTCCTGTTTAGCTCTTTTACTTCATTATTTCTTCCATTCAATTTAGTTACTCTGCATTCAAGACCAAGTTTCAGAGTCTCTTCTGACATCCATTTTGGTTTTTTGCTTCTTTTCTGTCTTTTTACTGACCTTTTGCTTTGTTCACATATGATGTCCTAAAATTTCATCTCACAACTCTTCTGATCTTCAGTCATTAGTGTTTAATGTGTCAAACCTATTCTTGAGATAGTCTCTAAATTCCGGTGGGATATACTCAAGGTTGTACTTTGGCTCTTGTGGAGTTATTTTAATTTTCTTCAGCTTCAACTTGAACTTACGTATGAGCAGTTGATGGTCCATTCCACTGTCAGTCCTTAGGCCTTGTTCTCACTGATCTTATTAAGCTTCTCCATCATCTCTTTCCACAGATGTAGTCAATTTGATTCCTGTGTATTCCATCTGGTGAGATCCATATACGTAGTTGTCATTTATGTTGTTGAAAAAAGCTATTTGGAATTGTGCGGCTGTTGGTCTTGACTCTATCATTCCATTTGTGGTGTCATTTCTATAACCAAGGTCATGTTTTCCAACTACAGATCCTTCTTTGTTTCCAACTTTCATATTTCAATCACAAGAAATTATTAATGCATCTTGATCACATATTTGATCAATTGCAGTGTGAAGAAGTTGGTAAAAATCTTTAATTTCTTCTTTGGCATCAGTGGTTGGTGGTAAATTTAAATAATAGTTGTATTATCTGGTCTTCATTGTAGGTGTAGGGATATTTTCATATCACTGACAGTATTGTACTTCAGGATAGATCTTTAAATGTGCTTTTGACAATGAATATGATAACATTCTTCTCAATTTGTAATTCCTACACTAGTATATAAGATTGTTTGATTGAAAATGGCCAATACCAGTCCATTTCATTTCACTAATACCTAAGATGTCTATCTTTATGTGTTCCATTTCATTTTTGATAACTTCCAGTTTTCACAGATTTATAATTTGTTCATTCCATGTTCCAATTATTAATGGATATTTCATTTGCTTCTTCTCATTTTGAGACATTACATATCAGCAAATGAAAGTCTCAGAAGCTTTACTCCATCCACATCATTAAGATCAAGTCTACTTTGATGAGGCTGGTCTTCACCAGTCATATTTTGAGAGCTTGCCAACCTGAGGGGCTAATCTTCCAGCACTATATCGGGCAATATCCTGCAGCTATTCGTAAGGCTTTCACTGGCCAATAGTTTTTAAACAAACAGATCACCAGACCCTTTCCCCCAGTCTGTGTTGGAAGATCTGCTGAAACCTGTCCACCATTGATGACCCTGTTGGTATTTGAAATACTGGTAACAAAGCTTCCAGCATCACAGAAACAGACAGGTCATCACAGGAGAAAAAACTGACAGATGAGTAGTGGAAACCAGTGAGGTGTACTTATTTATAAACTGGGAAACAAAAGTTAAGATGAATTGATTTAAAACTCACTGACTAGTGAAACTTGAAAATACCACAGAGGTATGTGTTGTGTTACACACATAAATACACATGTCCATGACCTAGAAAGTATAAACAAGTACTGTTGAGTTGATTCCAACTCATGGTGACCTCATGTGTGTCAGAATATAACTGTGCTCCATGTAGTCTTAAATATCTGATTTTTCAAAATTAGATCATCTGAACTTCTGCGGCACTTTGGGTGGACTAGAACTCCCAATTTCTTGGTTAGCAGCCAACTGCTTTAATCATTTATACTACCCAGAAACTCCCCTACAGTGTATACATTTGTTGCCTTAAATCTATTCCAATTTATAATGATGTTGTAGGACAGAGTAGAACTGCCCCATAGGATTCCCAAGGTTGTAAATCTTTATGGAAGCAGACTGCTACATCTTTCTCCCATGGTGCTGCTGGTAGGTTTGAACTGCTGACCTCTTATATAGCAGCTAAATGCTTAACCACTGTGTCTCCAGGGCTTCACTACAGAGTATAGTTATATAGAAAAAAGATACACACACTTTTGTGTATGCATATAGCTTTTCTAGGACCCTGTCCTTTCAACAGAGCCCAGAATTATCTTATAGACTAAATGGCAATAAAAGTAGTCCAGTCTCCAGCTCAGATGATTAAAATCTAAACGCAAAGCTGTACTTATTCCTGGTTCTCATTTGGGGGCATATGGTTTTAGGAAATTAATTTCGTCTGTATTTTGGATGACAGCATGAATCCATTCTTTCTGGGGACGTGGTGAATCTAAAAAGAACATTCTAGTCCACCCTAGTTGAGGCCTGCTCCTCTGTGGTTGAATTAAAGCAATATCATACTTTTAATAGGGAGCTTTGGTGATGTAGTGCCTAAGGCATTTGACTGCTAACCAGAAAGCTGGTGGTTCAAACCTACCAGCCACTCCTTGTAAGGAAGACTGGACAATCTACTTTCATAGAGATACCACCTCAGATACCCCTAGGTCTCTGAGATACCCCTAGGATATCCCTAGGAGGGGTATCTATGAGTCAGAATTGACTTGATGGCAGTTTTATTATTATTATTATTATTTTATTCTTTTAATGATGGGAATGTGAGGTGAAAGGTGAGTTACTCTTCATTTTAATCAATCTTTATTGATTTCAGACACCAAAAACTGCCTATTAGCTGGGAAAATAGTTTAACACTAATTATAGTGGAATCAATTTGATAGGAATATTTGTTCAAATTATCTCAAACCATGAGTGAACATTAAGGGAAGAGACAAAAACAAACAGAACAGAAACTCTGCTACTACAAGCAACAGAAGAAATGTACTTCCAGAATAAATTTAGCAAGCTATTATGAGCAAACTTTTCCTCAGTCTTCAGGCTCTATACTACAGGGACTTTAATGTTATAATTTGAAGGCAATGTAAATTATTTCTTCCTTCTTGAAAAAATGAAATATTGTTTGTTGTTACTGCTGAAGTGGCTACTCAGGGGAGATAACTAAGTAAATAAAACAGCCTTTGGAAGCTTAATTATTTCTCAGCTCAGGTGGTTACAGAGGAGATTTCCAAAAGGTAAAGTAATAATATTAATAAAAAAAGACAAAACAAAACTAGAAAAGCTTCTTCCTAATTACCATTATAGTCTATAATACGTATCATTGGACTAAATGTATTTTTAGCCATTTATTTACTTATATATTTGACTATAATTTTAATGACTTTCTGAAACAAATTCCCACTTTAACTATATTTAAAAACTTGGGACTATGTTTTGGAACAGGGAATAAGTATAGCTAATGTTTTGTTTCAATGGAAGGCAGGGTGGGCAATCTACTTCCATAGTGATACTGCCTCAGAAACCCAAGGAGGGGTCGCTGTGAGTTGGACTGACTCGATGGCAAATAACAATAACAACAACGTTTCAAAAACATAAATAATGGGTTAAAAAAAAAAAAAAATTATACTTTCATTTTAACTCTAGATTTTTTTTCCCCTTTCCAGAAGACTTTAAAATGGCCATCCCTTTTGTGTTTCAGATTGCTGAAACAGAACATTTGAGGACTTTAAAGGAATTCAAAGAAAGCAATGATCAACAATTTCTCCCAGACTGAAGCTGTGGAGCTCTGCTACGAGAATGTGAACGGATCCTGCATTAAAACTCCTTACTCTCTTGGACCTCGGGCTATTCTGTATGCAGTCCTAGGTTTCGGGGCAGCGCTGGCAGTGTTTGGAAACTTACTGGTCATCATTGCTATCCTTCACTTCAAGCAACTGCACACACCTACCAACTTTCTAATCGCATCCCTGGCCTGCGCTGACTTCTTGGTGGGAGTGACGGTGATGCCCTTCAGCACAGTGAGGTCTGTGGAGAGCTGCTGGTATTTTGGGGAGAGTTACTGTAAATTTCATACTTGCTTTGATACCTCCTTTTGCTTTGCGTCTTTATTTCATTTGTGCTGTATATCTATTGATAGATATATTGCTGTTACTGATCCTCTGACCTATCCCACTAAGTTTACTGTCTCGGTTTCAGGAATATGCATTGTCCTCTCTTGGTTCTTTTCTGTAACGTATAGTTTTTCTATTTTTTACACTGGGGCCAATGAAGAAGGCATTGAGGAATTAGTAGTTGCTCTCACCTGTGTAGGAGGCTGTCAGGCTCCATTGAATCAAAATTGGGTTCTGCTCTGTTTCCTTCTATTCTTTGTCCCCACTGTTGCCATGGTGTTTATATATAGTAAAATATTTTTGGTGGCAAAACATCAGGCTAGGAAAATAGAAAGTACAGCCAGCGAAGGTCAGTCCTCCTCAGAGAGTTACAAAGAAAGGGTAGCAAAAAGAGAAAGGAAGGCTGCTAAAACATTGGGAATTGCTATGGCCGCGTTTCTTGTCTCTTGGCTACCATACATTACCGATGCAATGATTGACGCTCACATGAATTTCATAACTCCTCCTTATGTTTATGAGATTTTAGTGTGGTGTGTTTACTATAACTCAGCTATGAATCCCTTGATCTATGCTTTCTTTTACCCATGGTTTCGGAAAGCAATTAAACTTATCCTAAGTGGCAAAGTGTTAAGGAGTGACTCATCAACAATTAATTTGTTTACCGAAGAAGCAGATATAGATTGAAAAGACTATTTCAAGGACTTCAAAATTAATGTGGAATTAAGATGAAGGGCAAAATAAAAGCACATGAAACTAGAGAAGCAAATGATGATCACTTGCCAAATAGGTGGAGATTACATTAAACGTTTAGTTGTTTAAGGCATTTGGTGTAATTAGATTTTTTTAACGGATTTAGTGCCATTTGCGTAAGACTTGCTGATAACTTCACATTTAGTAATCTTTTACCATTTTTTTCTGATTCTCTACTTTCTTCTCTGAAATTTCTACTTATTTCTTCAAATAATTTGGAGTTTTGTAGTTTTCTTCCATGATTATTATCAGTGTTCAGGTGTTCAGAATACTTGGTGGTGGTGGCTATTTAACTTTTAAGTTAGATTATTTGGGCAAAAATCTTCTTCAAAGTATATCTTGCTTGAGCAGTATATACTACATCATAAATTCTCTTGAATTTTTTTCAATCTAAATGGACTTTATAAAGAACTAGAATGTGCAATTTAGCAATGATTGAAGATTGTTTGATAAACACTGGAGCTTTTGTCTTTTCCCCCAGGTAATTTTTCCTCTCCATCTTACAGAGTCTGTTCAGATAGAACACATTTAGGGATTATATACTGTTTAGGACAACTTGTTTCTTTTGTGCCTGAGCTGCCCCAACTGTCATAACAATGATTCCACACTACATTTTATTTTTGGACAGCATAATCTATTATTCTAGAATAAGCATGTGACCAAGAAGATGTATTTCTTTTTTGCAGTCATTTGAAATAAATTATTTTATAAAAAGCTAGTAATTAAAATTAACATTTTTTTTTTTTTTTTTTTTTACTTTTGAGTTCTTACTTGTACCAGAAACTATATTTGGCATTGGAAATATTAAACTGCATGATCCAAATATAACCAAAGCTTGTGTTAAAATAGCAATTCCTCAAATTGGTACAATACACTCTAGGTATGTCTTCAGTTTTGTCATCTGATATTAAGCACTTTTCAAATCAACATGATTTCTAATTAATTTTATTTAAAATATATGTTGACTGTTTCAGGATACAGTAAAAGTTCAAAAAAGCTAATAGTAAGGTGATTAATCTTCTCAAATATTTAAATCTTGCCTTAAGTCTTTGTTTAGGTAGCTAATTTTCATGGACTATTCTGTAAATCAGACTTGTTTCATGAAATGAAAAGAAGAAATAAAAGCAAATAGAGTTACATAAAGCTTGCATGTTATGTATTTTACAAAGGAACCAGTTTGGAAATACTTGCATATTAAACTGTTCTGTATTTGTGCACACCAAACAAACCAAACTCACTGCCATCGAGTAGGTTCCAACTCATAGTGACCTCTCTTTGGGTTTCCGAGGCGGGATCACTACAGAAGTAGATTGCCCAACCTTCCTTCTGAGGAGTGGCTGGTGGGCGCCTTGCAATAACGCTGAGAGTAGTTAGGGTTCACAGGAAGAGAGGATGAAAGGAATATTTGCATCAGACAAGTCTTCATGGGGAGCTCTGGTAGCGTAGTGCCTAAGGCACTTGACTGCTAACCAGAAGGCTGGAGGTTCAAACCCACCAGCCACTCCTCCAAAGGAAGGTTGGGCAATCTACTTCTATAGTGATCCCACCTCGGAAACCCAAGGTGGGGTCACTATGAGTCAGGTCCAACTCAAAGACACATAACAACAACAAGTCTTCATGGCACAATACCTGTTTGAGGTTCAGACTCTGATATCAAGGAACAAGTAAGTCTACTAACCACTTTGCAAGTCATCACAATTGAGGTCCCCCCCATTCTCACTCCTTACAGAGCTCTGGTGGTGTGAAGGTTAAGGCATTTGGCTGCTAACCAAAAGGTCAGTGGTTCAAACCCACCAGCTGCTCCATGGAGGAAAGATAAGGTACTCAGCTTCCATAAAGATGTACAGTCTTGGAAACCCAGTGGTGGTCACCGTGAGTCAAAATCGATTTGATGGCAGTGAGTTTGGTTTTGGTATTTTATTCTCATCATTAAGAAGCAGATCAAAGCCTGTGTTCACTTGGTGGTGAGTCAGTAATACTGTTTTTGTAGAAATATATATTCCTTTCCTCAACTGCAAATATAAACTTCCATTGACACTCATGTGTAATGAAGAAAATAATTTCAAGAAATTAAAAAGTTACACTATTCTATTCACTCCCACTTTACAGGGTATAATCTCTAAATGAATTGATTGTAGAAATAACATTCAGTGAAGTTTTCAAGACCTTACTTAGATCATTAAGTAGAAGATGCGCTCTACCCAAATCTACTCTTTATTGTTTATTTTTCTACCCTCTTGTAGCCTTGCATAAAGGAATTCTGTTGATTAAAAACTAGTAGTTATTTTCTCTAAAACTAACTAGAATATTAACACAATAGCATTCTTCTTTTGTACATCTCATTTATTTATGAGAGCTCTGGTGGTATAGTGTCTAGGGCATTTGATTGCTAACCAGAGGCTGGTGGTTCAAACCCACCTTCCTTCCTTGGGAGGAAGACTGGGCAATTTACTTCCATAGAGAAACTACCTTGTATCAGCTGCACACATTACATTTGGAACAAGACACGTCAAGCATGAAGGGAGGCTTCATTCCATAAGACCCCGCCTGCAAAATAAAACCTGACCTTAAAACATGTTGCTGAGTTTGGTCTTACAATTTTGGTAAGTTTTGGTTCCCAGAAGGAGCTCTGGTGGTGTAGTGCCTAAGGCATTTGACGGCTAACTAGAAGGCTGGCAGTTCAAACCCACCAGCCACTCCTTTGAAGGAAGGTTGGGCAATCTACTTCTGTAGTGATACCACCTCGGAAACCCAAGGAAGTGTCGCTATGAGTCAGATCCGACTCAATGGCAATGAGTTTGGTTTTTGATTTCGGTTGGTTCCCAGACTGCCTGACTCAGCCACTGGTAGGCGTAAATCTATTTATGCTAAATTATGTAAATACTGTGTCTCTCAGATATATGGATTATCATTAAAAATGCATGTCATTGTTTATTATTAAACAATTATTATTAAAAATGCATGTGTTTTGATTAATAAAACATTAATTAGTTTAAAAGCATTGCTTAATTTGGAATAACTTTTGTCTGTGTGTATTTTTCTTAATCAGCCAATACTAAAAAGTACCATTACATTATGTGACTTTCTGTGAACATATATTTTTTAACATTGAAATGGAGGACTCAAAAATAAAAAGTTACAGAGCTATGCTGTAGAGTTTGCCTCAGTGTTGATTGGAGTTAAAGGAACATCATCAACTAGTGGCAGGGCTGTGAGTAATCCACCAATAACAATTATAAAGATAGAATGAACTATCATTAATACTAAGTTTTCTTGGAAAGTTACCAATGTCACTCTCTGGGTAACAGCATTTCCTCATTTATTACTAACAAGGTATTGGATGTTTACTTGAATTTCATGATCTCCCCATGTAATTACATCTTTGTAATCTTTTGAGGTATTATGTTCTTTTTTCTTTAGCTTTGAAGCCCTGGATTTATTTTTCACTCTTGGTTTTTTGGACATTATAATGTATTTAAATGGCAATCTTAAAGCATGATTCTTCAGCATCGAATTTATATTTGAAAAAAAGCAGAAAGAAACTAAGACTGTTAGTTGCAAAAAATCAAGGTTATTTTGAAGCAGACATTAAAGGCAACATATATACACTTTGTCATTTAGGAAATTTATTCTGATTTACATATTTGAAGTCTACACAGTACATGAGCAATAATTTTTAGGTAGTTTTCAGCCTTGAGACAGATACATTCCTATACTTACAAATTAAGTAATTTGATGTCGACTACATGGTTTTTATTTGCCAGTAACCCTTTATCCACATCACTTCAACATGCAGCACAGTGTCTTGCATTCAACAAGTACCTAAAAATATTTCTTAAACAAATGAAAACTTTTTTTTTTCCAACTAAAAATAATTATCTAGGTAGTATGTGTGTGTGTGTGTGTGTGTGTGTGTATAATTTATTTTAAATAAACCTATGTTTTTCTTTAGGAGCTCTGGTAGCATAGTGCCTAAGGCATTTGACTGCTCACCAGAAGGCTGGCAGTTCAAACCCACCAGCCACTCTTCAGAAGGAAGGTTGGGCAATCCTACTTCCGTAGTGATACTGCCTCGGAAACCCAAGGAGGGGTTGCTATGAGTCAGGGCTGACTCGACGGCAAACAACAACAACAACAACATGTTTTTCTTTAAAATTCACTTTCTAAAATAAAAAAAAAAATCATTAATATCTTTGATTGGGGGTAGTCTAACTTTAGCCAGCTGATTATGTTTGTTTAACTCAATTATTAAAAGATATTTTTATATTTATGCAGAAAAGTGTTAGAACATGTAAAGTTTCATAAAGTTGGATATTTTTGCCTAAAGTAGGTGATAGCTAGGGCACTGCCTCAGAGATTTTCAATGCAAAATTCTTTTGAAAACATGAATCTTCTTTTATTGCAAAGGCTGTATACATTATAGAGGTGCAGAGTAAGGTTCTGGAAGCATTAATTTTTTAAAAGTGTTTTATTTAGACAAATCCAAAACATGCCTTTATAAGATTTATTCTCTGGAGCCACATAGTCTGTTAAGCAAAAGGGCCCATTGACCATTGGACACAGTATTAAAAAAATTATTTTCTAATTAGAAATTAGATGTCAGAAGGCTGTGTAGAAAAAGCCGCTTGACTGATTCAGAAAATGATATCAGGAGTTCAAAACTAAATCCTTCATAGAGAAATACTAACTCTGTTTTCATAAGAGTAAGAGACAGAAGAAATCCAAATATATAAATTAAAGGTTATTTATATCTACATAAGTAAAAATACATTTGCACAAACTCCTTATGCTCTATTCCTATTAAGTGGGTTTTCAGAATTAACTTTTTTTTCCTTATTGTTAATATTAATTGTAGAAATTACTAACATGGAAACAAGCTCTGAAAAGGTTATAGGACTTGCCCAACTCAACACATGTGCTATAAACTGGAGCTA